GATTACTCATGTCCAAAGATTTAAAAGCTGTTATAGCAGGAGCACCTAAATATATAAAAAAGCTCTTTGAGGTCTTTAAGGAAGAGATGGACAGCAATACAGTCACAGTAGGGGACTTTACCACTCCACTGTCATTATTGGATAGATCTTCCAGACAAAAAATCAACAAGGGCCCTAACTGGTTTGGCTCAGTGGATAGAGCGTCGGCCTGCAGACTGAGGGGTCCCAGGTTCGATTCTGGTCAAGGGTGTGTACCTTGGTTGCAGGCACATCCCCAGTGGGAGGTGTGCAGGAGGCAGCTGATCGATGTTTCTCTCTCATCGATGTTTCTAACTATCCCTCGCCTTCCTCTCTGTAAAAAATCAATAAAATATTTTTTAAAAAAAATCAACAACCTTAAATGGCACACTAGATCAGATGGATTTCATTGACATTTACAGAACATTTCACCACAAAGCTGCACAATATACATTCTTCTCAAGTGCACACAGTACATTCTCTCAAAAACAGACCACACATTAGGATATAAAATAAGTCTCCACAAGTTCAAGAAGACTGAAATTATATCAAGCATCTTCTCGTATCACAATGGCATAAAACAAGACATCTATACTAATAAAAGCCTAGGTGGCCCTTGTGCACGATGTCATCACAAGATGGCCCCCACAAGATGGCCACATGCACAGCGGAAGCAGGGCCCGGCGGCTACTCCACACAGTGAGGCCTGGGGTCCTGCGGCTCCACACAGCGTGGAGGAGGCCAGTCCCGGCAACTCCACTGCCTCGCGCGGAGGAGGCAGGTCCTGGTGGAGGAGGTGGGTAGTGGCAGGGGAGGGCACTTGGGGTCAATCGGGCCAGCAGGGGAGGGCAGTTGTGGGTGATCAGGCCGGCAGGGGAGCAGTTAGGCATCAATCAGGCCGGCAGGGGAGTGGTTAGGAGCCTATCAGGCTGGCAGACAGAAGCGGTTACAGGCAATCAGGCAGGCGGGCAGGCGAGCAGTTATCGGGCCTAAACCGGCAGTCGGACATCCCCCAAGGTGTCCCAGATTGGAGAGGGTGCAGACCAGGCTGAGGGACACCCCCCACACACCCCATGCACGAATTTCATGCACCAGGCCACTCGTCAACAATAAAAACACTGAAAAACATTAAACACATGGAGGCTAAATCGCATGTTACTAAACAATGAGTGGGTTAACAATGAAATCAAGGAAAAAATCAAAAGATAACTTGAAAAAACTAAAAATGACCACAGTCCTCAGTCCACACATCAGGTGAGCAATGAGGCAGACATAAGTTGAAGTACATCCATGCAAACGGGGGGGCCTGGTAGTGAGACCTGGAGTGAGGCCAAACATGAGTTTTGAAGACCTGGCCTTGTGAAATTATCAGCTAGGACATGGCTAACTTCTGATACCACTGCAGCCAAGAGATCATGGACACCTACCAGCAAAGGTTACAAGCCCTACTCTCACGCAAGGAATACCATCTCTAGAGACCTCACAGGGTGATCTGAATAAATTCCTAACTAAGCAAGTCATGTTGGGTACTCATCCCCTAAGCCTATATATAACTTCCTTAGATAAAGGTTTTAAGCCAACCCCATCCCCATTCTTGTGCAACTAGGTTAACAAACCTTTGAAATATCAGAATACCCTTCGAAGAGGGTATTACTAGTAACCCTCATAACAATTTAAGTTTTATTTATTGATATTTTTAAGAAAGAAAGGGGGTGAGGAGAGAGAGAGAGAAAGAGAAAGAGAGAGAGAGAGAGAAGGAACGAGAGAGAGAGAGAAACGTCAACTTGTGCTTCCTTGTATGTGCCCTGACCAGAGATCGAACCCGCAACCTTGACATATCAGGACAATGGTCTAACCAACTGCTACTCAGCCAGGGTAACACTCACAACATTTTGAAAGCACATAATCTTGTTCACTATCCTAGAATTTATTCCTCACTTTCCTTTCTCCAATCTTCCTTATGCCCCCTCCTTAATTTCAAATGAATAAAAGAAGCTGCCAAACTGTATTCTCTGGAGCATTTGAGCTAGCTCCCCAGATGTTGTCAGTTTTGCTCAAATAAACTCTTTTTTTTTTTTTCAGTTTCCCACTGCTTCCCTGGTATACTTATGTATGTCTAATACATGTTAAGTATTCAATGCATATCTACTAAGCAATGCCTTAAATTTGATTTTAGAAAGTAATATTCACAACATAGTTAAGTAGAAAAAACAAATTATAAAACAGTATTTTGTGGTTTTCTATTTTTTTAACATATAGATAGGCAAATTAGAAGGCTATACAACAAAGTATTAATTTTGGTTGTGTCTGGGCAGACACAACCCAATTGAATTTTTGCTCAATTGAATTTTCTAATTTCTCTGCAACAAGCTACTTCTGCTTTAGAAATATTTTTAAATACTTCACACTCAAAATAGTATCAGTGTCTTGTCCTTATATCTATCAAAGCTCTAATCCTTTCAGTAATTTCTTTCCCTAGCTGGCTTAAGAGAAAAAGCAATAATATAAACTACTAACATGAATTTAGTATGCTAATTACCTAAGGAATTCCACATTTTAAAATGCAATAGTTCAGGCACTCTCCCTCCCAGGAGCACACCCACGCCCTTCTCTTACCCCTCTTCTTCCCCCTCCCTCCCAGGCATACATCTCCTAAACTCTAAGGGACTCTCCAAGGCTTGTGACCAGGGGAGCAATGGGCAGCAGCAGCTCATCCCTAGCTAGCCACCTGAACCTGTCCCCAAGGTCCCCTTTTCTCTGACTTCTTAGTGAGCCAAAGCAGCTGAATCTAGTTTATTTCACCACTTAGTCTCTTTCCTGTTGCTTCTTCTGTTTTAGGCCCTTCCTTGTTTCATTATCCCAGCTTTAATAAATGTCCTCTAAAAATCACTAAATAAATAAATAAATTTAAAAAATTAAATGCAGTAGTACAACTTTATATGTATACTAGAGGCCCAGTGCACAAATTCATGCACAGGTGGGGTTCCTTGGCCTGGCTAGCAATCGGGCCGATCGGGCAGCTGGCCCGGGGGAGGGACTGTGGGAGGTTGGCTGGCCGCGGGAGGTTTGCTGTGGGAGTACACTGACCACCAAGGGGCAGCTCCTGTGTTGAGCATCTGCCCCCTGGTGGTCAGTGTGTCATCATAGCGACCAGTTGACTGGTTGTTCAGTTGACTGATTGTAATGGTCACTTAGGCTTTTTTATATATAGATTATTATTGAACAACTAAATAAATATATTGTAGATAATGAGAAACATTTTAAAAAGTTAAAAATAAGGAAGGGGGGGCCTGGCCAGTGTGGCTCAGTTGGTTGGAGTGTTGTCCTGTACACTAAGGGGTTATGGGTTCAATTCCTGGTTGGGGCACATACCTGGGTTGCAGGTTTGATCCCCCCTGGCTCCAGTTGGGAGGCAACCAATTGATGTGTCTCTCATATCAATGTTTCTCTCTCTCTGCCTCCCCCTTCTTCCCTTCCTTCCACTCCTCTAAAAAAAAATCAATGGAAAAAATATCCTCAGGTGAGGATTTAAAAAAAAAAAAGACAGGGTGTCAATGGAGAAAAAGAGGGACATAAGTAATACTTTCAACAATAAAGATAAATTTTAAAAAGGGAGAAAGCATACTTGCATAGATTCAAACTATCTCTCCCAAGGTATCTATTTATTACAAAGGGAAGGAGTAATTTTACAATGAAGTAACCAGGCAAACACCATCTTAAGCAGATGATCAAGACTGACAGCACCAATAAGACATATGATCATCATGTACCCACTGTAACAACCAGAACTACCGATCGACCAGCCGCTATGAGGTGCATTGACCACTTCTCGGTCCCTCCCCGCAGCCCGCAGGCTCCAATCGCTGGATGGCCAACAGGGAACCACAGGGGAACCTGGGTGGGTGGCGGTTGGGTGGGACTGGGGACTGGCAATCAGGCAGAAGGCAGACTTCTTGGTTCCTCCGCCCGGCCAGCAGGCTCTGATCACTGGACGGCAAACGGGGAACCAGGGTGGGTGGTGGCGGGGCAGGACTGGGGACTGGCGAGTGGGCAGAAGATGGCCCTGATCACAGGCTAGTCCTAGGGACCCTACCCATGCATGATTTCGTGCACTGGGCCTCTAGTTTAATCATAAGAAGCTTAAGACAAACCAAAATTGAGGGATATTTGACAAAATACTGACCAGAATTCTTTAAAAGTGTCATAATCAAAGAAAAAAGACTGAAGAACTGTCATAGACTGCAGGGAATCAAGAAGACATGACAACTAAATACAATGTGGACTCCTTGATTGAATCCTAGAACAGAAAAATGACATTAGTAGAAAAACTGAAGAAATCCAAATAATGTCTATAGTTTAATGTAAAGTACTGTACAACCCAGGGATGCCAAAAATAAATAAATAAATAAAATAAAGTATTGTAGCCCTGGCCAGGTGGCTCAGTTGATTAGAGCATCGTTCTGATACACCAAGGTTGCGGGTTCAATGCCCAATCACAGCACATAAAAGAATCAACCAAAAAATTCATAACTAAGTGGAAAAACACATCAATGTTTCTATTTTTCTCTCGCTAAAATCAATAAATTTAAAAATACTAAAGTATTATACCAATGTTAAATTTCTTAATTTTGATCATTGTACTAGAGTTATTAAGATATTAACATTGGAGAAAGTTAAGTGAAGGTTATACAAGAACTGTACTATTTCTATAAATCTAAAGTTACTTGAAAAAAGTTTAAATTACTGTATTTATTCAATATTATGAATTTCTAATAGAGGAATTTCAGATTAAATTCTATGAAGCAATAGCGTAAAGCAGACAGCATTTCACTTCACTGAAGGTATTACACAGAAAAGGAGAAGTAGTCAGTACACAGGTACTTACAAGTGGGTACAATAGCAATGTAAGATTTTTTTAAATCTCCCTCATTTACCCCACTTAAGCTAAATCCAGAATTTTACATAAAGAAACCACATCTCAATTCCAAAGTGTTGAGTTCAGTTCAGGGCAGCTTCCCTGTTCTGTTAAACTTTGGGACACAGAAACACAGGCTAGGGGAGAAGATTAGATAGAAAGCACTGCTTTATTCATTTACCTCCCAGCCCACAAAAGAAAAAAGAAACCACATCCTGGCCAATATGGCCCAGTGGTTGGGCGTCCTCTTGTGTACCAAACGGATGCCAGCTCAATTCCTAGTCAGGGCACACACCCAGGTTGTGGGCTTGAACCCCAGTAGGGGGTGTGCAGGAGGCAGCCTATCGCTATCTCGCTCTCACATCAATGTTTCTCTCTCTCTCCCCCCTCTCTTTTCCTCTCTCTCTCTAAATAAAAAAAGAAACCACATTCCAAAGATCTGAAGTAAGCCAAGGTAGAAATAAAGTATCTAAAGCCATGCTCTTGTGTGGTCTCATAAGGTTCTCTTGATTCCCTCTCATAGCCTTCCTTGTTCCACAAAATTTACCAAATTAAAGTTCTCTGTGCCAAAGAAAAGTCTCCTGTGTATAATTTGAAATGCTTCAGAGAAAGTGTCTAATAAGTTATTATAACATACTAGTAAATCAGGGTTTCTATTGCATTTAAATCACAAAATTCTAGAGGAAAAAAAGATTATCTTTCTAAAAATGGATAAATTTTTTGAAACACTTCCTAAGTAGGTAGAAACTTCATTTTGCTTGTTCTGCTACTCTTGGCTTATAAAGAATGAATGAATGAATAAGTAAATGTTTAAAACGACATACTACAAATAGCAATTTCAGTACATAACTTGAGTATAACTCTTAGACACTTACAGTATTAGAATAAATGAATGTGAGGCACTCTAATACATTCAGTCATCAAAGAAATACTGTCTTATGTTTTACATAAAACCTAAAATGGGGCCTGGAAAATATACTGGTATATCTTACAATGATTTCAAACAAGGCTGATCCCAGAGAAGGTTTCCTGGCTAACCCTCAGTTAATTAGGAAACACCATTCTCATAAAAACACTAATTAGTTACAGTTTTACATTATTTTCTTTAATATTTTATTTAAAAGACAAACAGCAAAATACTTTCAATATTAGTAACTCTAATGATGAACAGGTTAAAAGGAAAACTCACGCATACCTTATGTAACTCAGAAGATGAAGACTTTTTCCTTTTTCCTTCTGTGACAATTTCTACAAAGACATGGTAAAAGTTATCATTTAATATGTAAATAAGATAAACAATATAATAAAAAATCCTTTCACAGCCATCCTTTGCTTTAAACGAACTTCTTGACAGATTTAGAATTTATATTGATACGTTTTACAGAACCTGATGGACTAAAAACATAAAGGTCAAAAAATAATAAAGAGAGTAGCAGATTCTCACAAAATGTCTCCATTAAACAATATATATATGATGACAATTTTTAAAAAAATAAAGGCAAACTTGGGTCTAAGAACTAAATTCTCTGTCAAAAGTCCTAACATCCAATAAGTGTTTAATAAATATTGGTTGAACCATATAACCAGACAAATTATCAAATTTTTATGAGGAGGAGTGGTGGGGGAGAAGCACAAGTTGAGAGCTAGAAGTTGGAAATATTTTATAAAAACACTTTTAATTCTACTATTTAATAATCTATGTACCTGGGAAAAGCTTATATCTTTCCTCATCAACATTTTTCAGACTTCCTATAGATTTTTTTTACAATATTTTTTTTACAATATTTTTTTACAATATTGTAAAATATATTACAATATTGTAAATATTTACAATATTTACAATATTGTAAAATATATATATATATATATATATATATATATATATATATATATATATACACACACTAGATGCCTAATACCTGAAAACTGTGCATGGGTAGGGTCCCTAGGCCTGGCCAGTGATCAGGGCCAATCTGTGGGGCAAACAGCGGGTAGACCGACAGTGCAATCAGAGGGCCCCTTCTGGCACCCGCCTTGGCTGGCCTGGGGCCTGAGGGCTGGGGGCAGCTCCTGTGTTGAGCGTCTGCCCCCTGGTGGTCAGTTCACGTCATAGTGACCATTCGTTCCACCAGTCATTCCTCCACCGTTCAGTCAATTTGCATATTAGGCTTTCATTATATAGGATTGTTTTTATTGATTTAAGAGAGGAAGGGAGAGGAAGAGAAAGATAGAAACACCAATGATGAGAGAGAATCACTGATTGGCTGCCTCCTGCACACCCTCCACTGGGGATCTACCCAGAACCCAGGCATGTGCCCTTGACCGAAGTCGAAACTGGGACCCTTCAGTCCACAAACTGACACTCTATCCACTGAGCCAAACCAGCTAGGGCTGTAGATTTTTTTTTTTTTTTTATGATTCATTCAACCAGCAAATATTGATTGTCTATCATTTGCCTGGCACTGTGTTAGGTAATGAGTACAGTGTACTGAGCAAACTAAATACAATCCAAGCTTTCCTGTAGCTTACAAGTAACTAGAATATATCACAAAATATTTTATTTTGTAACAAAAATGAATGATAAAAATCCACACATATATGGTCACCTATTTATGACTAACACACCACTACAATTCAGTGGTAAAGGGATGGTCTTTTCAGTAAGTCATGCTGAAGCAATCTGATAACAAATGGGAAAAATAAATGAATAAATAAACAAACCTTGACCTCTACACTATACACAGAAATTAATTTTAAATGGATCACAGATTCAAATGTCAAAGAAAAATAAATAAAGCTTCCAGAATACAAAGGAAGGGAATATCTTCATGACCTTGGGGTGGGCAAAAATTTCTCAAACAAGACACAAGAATATTAATCATAAAGAAAAAGATTAGCCGAAACCGGTTTGGCTCAGTGGATAGAGCGTCGGCCTGCGGACTGAGAGGTCCCAGGTTCGATTCTGGTCAGGGGCATGTACCTGGGTTGCAGGCACATCCCCAGTAGGAGATGTGCAGGAGGCAGCTGATTGATGTTTCTCTCCCATCGATGTTTCTAACTCTCTATCCCTCTCCCTTCCTCTCTGTAAAAAATCAATAAAATATATAAAAAAAAAAAAGATTAGAGAACCAAGATGGCAGCATAGATGAACACCTATACTTGCTGCCTCTCACAACCCCATCAAAATAACAACTAAAAGGCAGAACAACTACCACCCAGAACCGCGGGAAAGCTGGCTGAATGGAAGTTCCACAACTAGAAAAGTGAAGAAAGCGCATTAAGACTGGTAAGAGGTACGGAGGCACAGAAAGTGCTGGCATCTAGATGTGCTGCTCTTTTAATAGGGAGGGAGATACAAGCTCCCGCTTGCTCTGAACTCCAATTCTGGGTGAGACTCTGGGGGACCCAGACACATCCAGGGAGAAACTGGATGTTTCAGGACAGGAACAAGGGCGGCTTTCTCTCAGAGGTGCTCGCAGCAATCATTGTTCCTGGGCTGGGGCGCAGGACGCAGAGACCCGGGGACCTCTCTGGTGCAGGGCTGACACAGCCATTGCTGCTTGCTCCACCCTGGTGATTCCCAGAGACCCCGCCCCACCCAATTTACAACCCAACCCAAGCTGTGCGCAGCGGCTTTTGCATATGAATGGCCTGTGCTCTCTCCACCTAAAACCTGTCAAACTGCAGTGGGGTCAGAGAACCCCAGAGCTCCCAAAAGAAGGCCCAAGGCCGGCAGCAGCAGCCTGCCTTGCTTCACAGCTGGGCCTCATGTGGGCACCTCCAAACCCCATACAAAGAGGAGGAATCTGCAGATGTCTCCTGCTGGGCGGCCCTGACAGTGGCTGACCCTGCACCTCCTTGGAGATCCAAGAGCCAGTGTACCCAGTGGTCAGAGTGAGACCATACCGGATGACAACTCTTTACATCCATAAGAGACACACTCAAGGGGCAGACTTAGTGAGCACCAAAGCCTCATTGAAGCAAGTCCTGCCCCATAAGGGTGTCTCCTGTGCAACAGATCTTCCAGTGTAGACACAGCTGGCCATCACAGCCAATTGGCCTGGAGGTCAATTCCTCCCAGTGATACCAACAGCAATCAAGGGTTAACAACAACAAGATTGTGCAAACAGCCCACAAAGGGGTGCATCAAGAATGTCCACCTCAGGTGACTGGGGAGGCTGAGCCACTGGGCCCTACAGGACACCTAGCACACAAGGCCACTCTATCAACTCAAGGAGACTTAGCAGCTACCCAGTACATAGAAACAAACACAGGGTTTAAAAAGGACACATATGTAATACCCTTTGTAATACTTTAAGCAAATAAATAAATAAATAAATAAATAAATAAATAAAAAATAAAGAAAGAATAGAATTCTTAAAAAAAAAAAAAAAAAACCACAGGGAAGCAGCCAAAATGTGGAGACAAAGAAACATGTCAAAATGAAAGAAATGGATGAAAGCAAAATACTGGATATAGAGTTCAAAACCACGGTTAGAAGGTTACTAAAGAATCTTCTAGAAACCTCCAAGAAATTTAGTGAGACCCTCAAGGATATGTAAAAGGATCAATCAGAAATTAAGCATACACTGACTGAAATAAAGAATAATATACAGAGGTCCAACAGCAGACTAGAGCAGGGGTGGGCAAACTTTTTGACTCGAGGGCCACAATGGGTTCTTAAACTGGACCGGAGGGCCGGAACAAAAGCATGGATGGAGTGTTTGTGTGAACTAATATAAATTCAAAGTAAACATCATTACATAAAAGGGTATGGTCTTTTTTTTTTTTTTTTAGTTTTATTCATTTCAAACAGGCCGGATCCGGCCCGCGGGCCGTAGTTTGCCCACAGCTGGACTAGAGGATTGAAGAATCAAGGCAAAGATTTGAAATACGAAGAAGCAAAAAACACCCAACCGGAAAAGCAAAAAGAAAAAATAATCCAAAAATATGAAGATAGTGTAAGGAGCCTCTGGGACAACTTCAAACGTACCAACATCTGAATTATGGGGGTGCAAGAAGAGAGAGCAAGATATTGAAAACCTATTTGAAGAAATAATGACAGAAAACTTCCCCTACCTGGTGAAAGAAATAGACTTACAAGTCCAGGAAGCACAGAGAACCCCAAACAATAGGAATCCAAAGAGGGCCACACCAAGACACATCATAATTAAAATGCCAAGAGCAAAAGACAAAG